AGAACACCAAATTCTGAGACGAACTTCTGTATTTAATACCCAACTTTATACTTAGGAACACTGATAGTATTTGCAATGAAACTTGGCAAGAAAAAAAGCAATACTTGCTATTATTGTGATAGAAACTTGTTTTGGGCCGGCGCCGCGGCTCACTAGGCTAATCCTCCACCTTGCGGCACCAGCACACCAGGTTCTAGTCCAGGTCAGGGCACCGGAGTCTGTCCCGGTTGCCCTTCTTCCAGGCCAGCTCTCTGCTGTGGCCCGGGAGTGCAGTGGAGGATGGCCCGAGTACTTGTGCCCTGCACCCCATGGGAGACCAGTATAAGTACCTGGCTCGTGCCATTGGATCAGCGCGGTGCGCTGGCTGCAGCGCACCAGCCGCGGCAGCCATTGGAGGGTGAACCAACAGCAAAGGAAGACCTTTCTCTCTGTCTCTCTCTCACTGTCCACTTTACCTGTCAAAAAAAAAACACACACACACACACACACACACACACTTGTTTTGGTCTTGACAAGAGTTCTATAACATTCTTAAAATAAAACAGTAACAAAAGTTGTTCAGACTTCTGAAAGGAGAAACAAAACAGGAATAATAGATACAAATTTCAGAAAGCGAGAAAAAAATCATTAGTTGTAGATAGTGTGATTTATATTTAGAAAATCCAAAGGAATCACTCCTCCCCCCAAAAAAAACCCAACTATTTGTAACTATCTAGCGTAACTATCCATTCAGCAAAATGGTTAGATATGATTTCTAGTCCTGGCTGCCATGCTTGTAATCCAGCTTCTGATCCAGTTTCCTGCCAATACACCTGGGAAGGCAGCGGGAGGTGGCCCAAATACTTGAACCTCTGCCACCCAAGTAGGAGACCCAAAATAATTCCCAGGTCCATTGATTTGCTGAAAGACCCACAGGACATAGCATATGGTCATACTGCTATGACTTACTACAGTAAAAGGAGTTGGAGCGAAATGAGCAAAAGAGAAAGGTCCCTGGATGAAGTAGAGAAAAAAACCAGGTGCAAACTCATGAGGGTCCTGTCGCGGTCATCCTGTCCCAGAGTCCACAAGATGCACTTTATCCCCCAGCCGTGAGCTGTGATAACACGGATTATATTGTCTGCCAGGGACACTTGTTAGGAACTCAGTGTCCAGGGTTTTTATTGGGAACTGGTCATGTGGGTGCTCTACCAGGCTCACATCAAAATGTCAGCCTCCTAGAAGGAAAACAGAGGTTCAGCCTACGCCATCTGGACTGCACAGTCTAGGCAAGGTGAACCTCTCCTGCCAATTCTGCTAATCGTGTGACCCCTCCCCTCAGCTAAGTGTTCAGAAGCCGACCAATGGTCAGCTACTAAGCAAACCTTTCAAAGCCTGTGCCTACTGTGCTGACTCTTCTCTACACAGTATTTAAAAAATAAGTCTGGGGTGGCCATCGTGGCACAGTGGGTTTAAGCTACTATTTGGGATACCCGCATTCCCCGTGTGTGGTTTGTGAACCAGCTACTCCACTCCCAATACAGCTTCCTGCAAATGCATTCTGGGAGGCAGCAGATGATGGCTCAAAAGTCTGGACTCCTGCCACCCACATGGGAGAACAGGATGGAGTTACTGGCTCCTGGCTTCTACCTGGCCCAGCTCTGCTGTTGCAAGCATTTGGTGAAGAGCCAGCAAATGGAAGATTTCTTTCTGTCTCTGCCTTTCAATTAGATGAAAATAAAGTTGTTTTGTTTTTTAAAAAAAAAAAAACAGAAAGAAGTCAGAAGAAAGTGGTTGGCTAGCTAGGAAAGCAGAGGAAAAGGAGAGCTTGGGAAATCAATGTTCTTTTTTAGAACTATCTGAAAATGCTCCAGATCCCAAACTGTCACTATTCAAAAGTTTTGGATTTCAGAGCATTTCAGATTTTTACAGTAGGGAGGCTTCACCTATATATATAGATTTTTTAAAGATTTTATTTATTTATTTGAAAGTTAAAGTTACACAGAGAGAGAAGGAGAGGCAGAGAGAGAGGTCTTCCATCCACTGGTTCACTCCCCAATTGGCCACAGCGACCAGAGCTGCGCCGATCCGAAGGCAGGAACCAGGAGCTTCTTCCAGGTCTCCCACGCAGGTGCAGAGGCCCTAGGACTTGGGCCATCTTCCACTGCTTTTCTAGGCCATAGCAGAGAGCTGGACTGGAAGTGGAACAGCCAGGACTCAAACTGGCACCCATATGAGATGCCGGCACTGTAGGCGGCGGCTTTACCCGCTACATCACAGTGATGGACCTGCTTAACCTATATTGTGAAATCTCTTCTCACCCATCTCTTCCTGTCAGGAATCACTATTGACTGTTTCTTGTTTATCCTTCAAGGCATTATAACAAATGCATATATAAAACAAAACATATATATAGTTGTTAGTTTTCTTAGCTATGTAAATGATGGTAGCATCCTGTGTACACTTCTGTATTGTCTTGCATTTAATAAGAAATAAGATCTTTCATATCATTTTTATAAAGAACTTTTTTTAAGTATTTATTTATTTATTATTTCAAAGAGTGACAGAGAAAGAGACACAGAGAGGGAGAAAAGATCTTCCATCCACTGGTTCATTTCCCAGATACATGCAACAGCCGTGGCAGAAGCCAGAAGCCGGGAACTCTTCCAGATGTCTCACATTAGTGGTAGCAAACAAAGTACTTTGACCATCACTTGCTGCCTCCCATGCACATTAACAGGAAGCTGGACTGGAAGCGAAGGTGGGACTAACCCCAGACACTCCCGTGTGGAGTGCAAGCTCCCTCACTGCACTGCGATAGCCAAACCCAAGAACTCATTTCTTTCTCATAGCTGCATATTTCACTGTATTTTCGAATGGTTATTCAGTTGTTTTCAATCCTTCACTATTGCTAACAGTGCTTCAAGGAACAACTGAATTTTTGTTATTTTTTGGGTTAGAGAGTGTTATGTGCAGGCAGCGTTCCCAGTTTTGGAAGTTCTGTGTTAATCACATGTGCATTTGAATTTAATGGATACAACCAAATTGTTTTCTAATATGTTTGTACTAAGTTATATTCCTGCCATCTACCTTTGAGTGTGTGTGTCCCACATTCTTGCCAACAGTGTACAGTCTTAAACTTCTGGAATTGTTTCTTAACTGACAGGTAAAAAAGCAGTATTTTCAGTATAGCCTTGATTTTTCTCTTAATATCTGTAAGGTTGATCATCTTTTCATATATGTGAACCATTTATCTTTCTTTACTGTGAGTTCTGTTATCTTCCACCCCCTTTTCTATTGGGCCAGTAGGTTGTTTTCTTATGTGTGTGGAGAAACTCTTTATATATTGAGGTTAATCTTTTAGAATGTGAGTTTCACATTGTCTTCAGTTCATCATTGTATTTTTTTTTTAAGATTTATTTATTGAAAGGTGGAGTTACAGAGAGAGGCGGAGAGACAGAGAAGGAGAGAGATCTCCCATCTGCCAGTTTACTCCCTAAATGGCTGCAACAGCTGGGGCTGGGCCAGGCTGAAGCCAAGAGCCAGGAACTTCATCTGGGTCTTCCATGTGGGTGCAGGGGCCCAAGTACTTGAACCATTTTCCACTGCTTTCTTGGGCGCATTAAAGGGAGCTGGATTAGAAGTGAAGCAGCCAGGACTTGAACTGGTGCTCAGATGGGATACCAGTGTCACAGGTGGCAGCTTCACCCCTACTGTGCCACAATGTCAGCCCCATCATTTGGGTTTTTTGATTAGTTTAAGCTGTATTTCACTATGCACAGGCTTTTGACTTGTATATAATAACTAGGTTTATTAATCTTAGTTCATCATAATAGGAAGATCTTCCAGGTCTCTTACTATATTTTTTTTACCACTTTTATTTAATTTTCTACATTTAAATCTTTGCTGTATTTGGAATTTATCTTAGTATATGGGGGTGGGAGATGAGGAGAACCACCTTTTTTTCTAGATGGCTATCCAATTTTCCTGACCAATTTGAGTTTTTACCTTTATCATATATACAGAAGTCCTAAATGTTTGGGGGTCTAATTCTGGATTATTGATTCTAATCCACCCTTGAATCAGTGCCATGTATTTTTAATTACTGAGGCTTTAAAGTGTATTATAATATCTGATGAGTCTAGTTCTCCATCTTTGCTTTTCTTAGAGTCTTCCTGGATAATTAATTTTCCTACATGAACCTGAGATTTACCTTTTGTAGTTGTAGGGGGAAAAAAGATCTGTGGTTATTTTTGTTGAGATTGATTCAAACTTTAATAGATTGGTATAATGACATTTTAGAATGGATTCATCTCTAAGAACATAATATCTCTTTCCATTTGTTCAAGTCTTCATCTTTGTCATTCAGGAGTATGTTATAGTTATTTTTTTCATTTCTTATTAAATTTACTTCCAGGAGTGTTATCTTTCTTGTTGTTTTAACAAACAATTTATGATTTTACTTCTCATGTTGATCTACCCTTAGAGAAAGGATAGCCTTAATTATGCAGAGTTGTAGTTTGAATGTTAGTGCAATTTTCATTATAAATTAACACCTTGACATTACAGTTTTATGCATCATTCTATCTGAACAGTTGCAATGAGCCACACTAAGAGATGGATCCATTCTTTACCTGCCTGGAAATCACTTTGGGCACCTTGGAGGCTGAGAGCCTGATCCTAGATCTTGGAACATTTGCTCTTTCGCACTAGTATGCCTTGCCCACTGGAGGAGTCTGTGGAGACAGCGACATGATTTCTCCCTGCAGCAACATATAGATGCCCTTATTTGAAAAATCAGTTGATCACTTACTTTATTGTTTTGACTGAAAACCTTTAAGAGAGCCTACGAGGCATGGTAATTGTATATGAATGGCAGTCTCCAACTCTTACTGATGTTTCTGTATCTACTCTTGAATTAACGGGCCCAGTCATTATGCAAATGATGTGCTTTGGAAAATTTCTAAGAAACGGTTTTTGGTAGGTCTTTAATGCCAGTTTTAAATTCTTGTATATTACAGAACTTCACAAACTTGTTTGGACAGCCCCTAGTGTGCTTGCTTTCTCCTACAGCATATCCAAAAGCTTTACAAGGTATGTTCCCTCATTACCTGGTGTCCTCATAGGTCGCTAATAACCACTGTCTACATTTTGAATAATACTGATCTTTGTTTTTCCTCCCATAATGATCACATGTGAGTTTTTGATGTTTAACGTGGCAGGTGTCAAAATGAAAAACACCCTGAAGCCTTCACAATAACTGGAGTTCTTTCATTCGGTGCTGTTAAGCTTTGAGATAATTTGCCCCTGAGAAAGATGGTCTTGTTCCTTGCTATTGATCTCCTGATTTATATACTTTGAAATTTGTTTTATAGTTGTTTTTTTGGCTGACTTGCCACGGCCATGTAATGTAGATTTACTAGATTTTTTATTTTTTTGACAGGCAGAGTTAGACAGTGAGAGAGAGAGACAGAGAGAAAGGCCTTCCTTCCATTGGTTCAACCCCAAATGGCCGCTACGGCCAGTACGCTGCGCTGATCCAAAGTCAGGAGCCAGGTGCTTCCTCCTAGTCTCCCGTGCGGGTGCAGGGCCCAAGCACTTGGGCCATCCTCCACTGCCTTCCCAGGCCACAGCAGACAGCTGGACTGGAAGAGGAGCAACCGGGACAGAATCCGGCGCCCCAACCAGGACTAGAACCCGGGGTGCCAGCGCCGCAGGCAGAGGATTAGCCTAGTGAGCCGCGGCAACGGCCGATTTACTAGATCTTTTGATTATATAGTATAGGCACCTTCTAAGACCAGAAGATGACTGGTCTAGAAAACTTCTCAGCTTGAGTATAAGAGTTAGGATATCCTAACTGGCACAACTTAAAGAGTTTCTTTTATTCACGTTCTACTTGTACTTCTTGCATAAAAGAACCTCTTCTATGGTTTGCCTGCCAGACAGGTTAGTGTTTTGGCCACTTCTCCAATGGCTGAGAATTAAAATTTTGTCCTCAGTGGATTGTCCTTCAAGGTGACACACACCATTGAGCTCCCCGCCATTTAGTAGGTGAAATACTAAATAAGCCGTAGTGCCGTCTTAGCAGTCCTTGTCACTGTCTCACTATCTCCCTGACTGGATAGTGCTGATGTCTGTGGGAGACGGCACTTTACTGCCGCTTACCAGCCGGAAGCCCGTCTGCTGACATAGCTTGACACAGGAAGTAAATGCCTGAGAGAAGCTGGAGATTCTCCCGTTGTTTGAAGGTAAGTTCTCCTGTTTCCCAGGGAGAAACATGGAGAAATAGTAAGTTCACAGAGCTAAGAGTCAAATTACTAAGGGATAGAACTTACCTTCAAAACAATGGCAAATCCTCCTGCTTTGAGATTTTGTTATCCTGCTAGCTTTTCTGGCGCAGTACAACCCCTTCCAGTTTTTTAAGAGTACTTTTTGCTACCAGTCTGTTCTATCTTAATGGAGCTGTACTTAAAATTATGTGGTCAAATGGTTAATACCAAGATTATTTGGTCTGAAGATTGTTTCGAGGAGAAAAGCACAGACTTTGGCGGTAACTGGTTGAACTGAACCCTGGTTTAGCCACTTACTAGCTTTTTGACCTTGGGAAATTACTCAGCCAGTCTGTCAGCTTCTTCATCTATCCAATCGAAATAATAATATTACCTACCTGATACAATAATGGTAGGTACACCGTAAGTACTCAATATGTGCTATCATTGTTTCACTTTGTTTTGCTTTTAAAGATTTACTTTATTTATTTGAAAGGCAGAGTTAGAGAGAAGGAGAGACAGAGAGAGAAAGATCTTCTATTTGCTGGTTTACTTCATATAGCCACAACGGCCAGAGCTCAGTCAGGCCAAATCCAGGAGCCTGGAACTCTATACCCGACTTCCACGTGGGTGGCAGGGCCTCAAGCACTTAGGTTATCTTTCGCTTCTTTCCCAGGCACAGTAGCAGGCAGCTGTATCGGAAGTAAACAGCCGAGACTCATGTGGGATGCCAGAGTTGTAGGTGGCAGCCTAACCCACTGTGCCCAGTGCCAGCCCGGCTATCCTTGTTTTTAATATGCTTAGTTGTAGTATAGTTCCTTAACATTTTTTGGTTCAGTATCCGATCTTTGTGCTATAAAACATAGATCTATACTACCTTAAATGAATTGTTTAATTATATAAGCAGATGGGAAATTCTTTTGTGCTAAACATTTTGGATTTATTCAAATAGGCATTATTGCTATTCACCTCTGCAAAAGGGATTGACCCTCTATCTGGTCAGAAGAACTAATTGGAATGCCCGACAAGCTTCTTGCACATCTGGTACCTAGTGCCTGTTTTTCTCTCATTAGCCAGGAGTTACTTCATTCAATTAACAAACATTTATTCAACACGTGTTTTGTCAAGTATTATGCTAGATGCCGGAGCTAGGCACTCTGCCCTGACAGTTCTGTTCCTCACGCATCCTCCTGTCTCCAGGGAGACAGAGACAGCCTAGCAGCCACTTCCTGCAGTGCTGTCCGTGTCTCCTAGGCAGAGGTACACAAACACTACTAGGAACTCCTGACCGGCAGGGAGGGTGAAGGAAGGGGCCAGGACAACATCTAAAGTGGACGTTAAGGACATTTAGGATTAGATGGGAGAGGGGGAAAGCCTGAACAAGAGATTCCAGCAGAGAAATTGCACCTGCTATGAGCCTGAGGTAAGAGAGTTCTTGGAACATTTACAGCAATTAAAGTAGTTCCTTCTGGCCAAAGAGTAGAGTTTAGAATTGTGGCCTAAAGTGATAACACCCCTTTAAGATTTGTTAAGCTGTTTAAGTAGAGACTAATGGGAAAACAGCAAAAGATTTTTGAATCAATGAGTAACATGGAAACTCTCCACTTAACCCGTGGAGAATGAATTAGAAAGGGCATCGATTGGAAATAAGGAAATGGGGGGAGCCAGAGCTAGGGGAATGGCTGAGTAGCTGGCTTCCAAAGACACTGAGCCCATAGACCAACCGGACTGGCAGTGCACTGGGTGTGGGAGAGGAAGGCAGTAGGAATAGACTTCCAGATCTCTGACTGCGTTACTGGTAGAAATAGTGATATTTGAAGAGAAGTGTGTTTTTAGAGAACAAAAGGGAAAGAATTTGCTTTCAACTGTTGACATTCTGAGTTTGAGGCCCTGCTAAGAGTTAGACTGAGTGCAGTAACTTAAGTTGTCTGGTGGAACCTCCATTTAAAAAGTAAAAAGAAAGAGGTGAAATGGGTGTTAACAGCATGTCTTTGCATATTAAGGCTTGGAAATCTGGTGTGTATTTACAGTGGGCTGCAGTCACATTCTAAATATTCACTAGCTACTGTGGGATAGTACAATGCTAGACCTAAGGAATTTGGTCTAGGCTACAGATAGAGCATTAGGAATCAGTTATTTTTAAGTTTGCCTAGCAGAAAGTGACATTCTGGGTGGATTTTAAAGTTTAATGCAGAATTTGTTTTGTTGCATTATGATTTAATGATATAGGTCTTAACTCTCTACCTCAATCAGTGTATTAAATGTTCCTCATATGTATCTCTTCTGTAAAACTGTTGTCTATATATATAAAACGTGTTTGTTATTACAGATCAATCTCAACGAGGTAGCCTCTTCACTCTCTTTTTGAACAATCCTCTAATGGCCTTCCTATTTGTCTCTGGATTGTCAAGCATGCGTAGAGGCCTGTGGGAAAAGTGTCAAGAATATCTTCGAAAAATCAACCGCGATATTGCACAGCTACTGACACATTCACGTTCAATAGGTACCCTACTAATCTAACTGCACACTTACCAGATGTATTAGAATGGCTTATAATCGTTGCTTATTTTAAGTTGTTTGGCCTTGTGAAGGTGTTAATCCCAGGCAGGGGAGTCGAGAGGCTTTCCTGCAGTCTCCTTCCCCCTCTGAGTTGTTACTTCCGTGCAAGCAGCCTTTTACTGTCACCTTTCTCCTCTTTGCAGATCAGGCATTCCTCCAGTTTTTTGGAGATGAATTTCTTCGCTTGCTTCTCACAAGATTTATCTTTTGTTCAGCTACCATGCGGATGCACAAGATTTTTCGGGTAGGCAGAGAATACTTTTAAAGACAAATTTTACCATTTTGGTTATTTAAGAATCATGTATTGTATTTTAATTATGTTGAAGTTTGAATAGATCCAGAGTAATGCTTGCAAATCAATGTGTCTGGTGAAAAGATGGCATAAGGAACACTCTGAGGACCTGCATCCTACTCAAGAAGTGGTCCACTGTCACTACTGCGGTCCTCTCAGCTCCAGCTGTCATCCTCAACTTTATGTTTATCTCTTGTGAATAGTTTCGCCACACCTGTTTGAATTTCTGCACTGCACATTGATGGATCCACATTGCTTTTTTTCAGTCAGTATGATATTCCTGAGACGAAGCTCTGACTATATGAGGCGTTGTTTGACCATACATCACAAATTATCTGCTCCACTGATAATGGACACTTGGGTTGTTGCTGGTGTTTTATTATTCTGTAAATGATGCCACTGTGAAATTCTTGTATCAATTTCCTGATGGTCATATGAAAGATTTTCTCTGGGGAAATATACCTAATACTGGGATTGCAAGGCCAAAGGGAGTAAGCATCTTCAACTTGAGTACCTAATGCCAACCTGTATTCCAAAGTGGCCACACCAGCCGACACTCAAGCTAGCAGTGTCTGAGAGTTGCCATTTCCCCAGTCGTTCCTTACAATGGTGCAGTCATGGTTCATATTTTCTATGAATCTGGCATTGTAAAGTGGTAAATCATTGTGGTTTTTATTTTCATTCCAGATTGCTCTTGAGGTTGGACAACTTCTGTGTGTTATTCTGTGTTCTCCTTTGTGGAGTGTTTTCATGTTTTCAAGTTTTTTGCTTGACTTAATAGTACATTTTGTAGGGCTGGCACTGTGGCATAGCAGGTAAAGCCATCACCTGCAGTGCCAGCATCTCATATGGACGCTGGTTTGAGTCCCGGCTGCTCTACTTCCAATCCAGCTCTCTGCTGTGGCCTGGGAAAGCAGTAAAATGTGGCCCAAGTCCATAGGCCCCTGCATCTGCATGGGAGATCTGGAGGAAGCTCCTGGCTCCTGGCTCCGGATCAGCACAGCTCCAGCCTTTGCGGCCAATTGGGGAGTGAACCAGTGGATAGAACACCTCTCTCTCCCTCTCTCTCTTTTACTCTCTGCCTCTCCTCTCTCTTTGTAACTCTGACTTTCAAATAAATAAATAAATCCTTTTTTTAAAAAAAAGTATATTTTGCTATTTTTATTTCTTTCTGTATATTGATCATAGTGTAGCAATGTATTTCATTTTATAAGAAACTGCAATCTTTTTTCAGAGCGGTTGTACCATTTTTGACTCCTCCGAACAGAGTCTGAAAGTTGCTTTGCATCCTTGTTGGCACTTGATATTGTCAGACTTTAATTATGACCATTTTCTTGGATATGTAAGTGTACCTGATGGTTTCAACTTGCATTTCATGGTTCAGTAATGATATTGACCATTTTTCATGTGCTTATTGGCTATATTTTATATCATTCTGTGGCTTGCCTTTATATTTTCTTTTAAAGAAATATTTTTTATTTTTTATTTTTTTTTGACAGGCAGAGTGGACAGTGAGAGAGAGAGAGAGACAGAGAGAAAGGTCTTCCTTTTGTCGTTGGTTCACCCTCCAATGGCTGCCGCAGCCGGCGCGCTGTGGCCGGCGTACCACGCTGATCCGATGGCAGGAGCCAGGTACTTATCCTGGTCTCCCATGGGGTGCAGAGCCCAAGCACCTGGGCCATCCTCCACTGCACTCCCTGGCCACAGCAGAGAGCTGGCCTGGAAGAGAGGCAACCGGGACAGAATCCGGCACCCCGACCGGGACTAGAACCCAGTGTGCCGGCGCCGCAAGACGGAGGATTAGCCTAGTGAGCCGCGGCGCCGGCCCCTCAACAGTTTTTTGATTTCTCTTTTGATTCCTTCTGTGAGCCACTGTTCATTCAGGAGCAGGCTGTTCAGTCTCCATGTGTTTGCATGTGATCTAGAGACTCTCAGGTTGTTGATCTCCAGCTTCATTCCATTGTGGTCAGAGAAGATTCATGGTGTGATTTCGATTCCTTTGAATTTGCTGAGGCTTGCTTTATGGCCTGGCCTGAGGTCTATCCTAGAGAAAGTTCTATGCACTGGTGAGAAGAAGGTGTATTCTGCAATTGTAGGATGAAAAGGTCCATTCGGTCTATAGTGTAGATTAACTGTTGTTTCCTTGCTGATTTTCTGTCTGGTTGATCTGTCCATTGCTGAAAGTGGGGTAGTGAAATCCCCCATTACTATTGTATGGGAGTCTGTGTCTCACTTTAGATCCATTAACATTTCTTTTAAATAGCCAGGTGCCCTGTAATTAGGTGCATATACATTTATTATAGTCACATCTTCCTGTGGAATCGATATCTTAATCATTGCATAGTGCCCTTCTTTGTCTCTTTTAACAGTTTTTGTTTAAAGTCTGTTTTGTCTGATACTAGGATGGCTGCACCAGGTCATTTTTTGGTTTCTGTTAGCATGGAATATCTTTTTTTTTAAGATTTATTTATTTATTTGCGAGTCAGAGTTACACAGAGAGAGGAGAAGCAGAGAGAGAGAGAGAGAGAGAGAGAGAGAGAGAGAGGTCTTCCATCCGCTGGTTTACTCCCCAATTGGCCATAACGGCTGGAGCTGTGCCGATCTGAAGCCAGGAGCCAGGAGATTCTTCCAGGTCTCCCACATCGGTGCAGGGTCCCAAGGACTTGGGCCATCTTCTACTGCTTTCCATAGCAGAGAGCTAGACAGGAAGTGGAGCAGTGGGTCTCGAACCAGCGCCCATATGGGATGCCAGCAGTTCAGGCCAGGGCGTTAACCCGCTGTGTCTCAGCGCTGGCCCCAGCATGGAATATCTTTTTCCATCCTTTCATTTTCAGTCTGTGTGCATCTTAGTTGGTGAAATGTGTTTCTTGTAGGCAGCAAATAGATGGATTTTGATTTTTTTTCCATTAAGCCAGTCTGTGTCTTTAACTGAAGAGTTGAAGCCATTTACATTCAAAATGACTATTGATAAGTAGCAACTTGGTTCTGCCATTTTTCCATAAATATTCCTGTTGTTTACTTTGGATTTCCTTTATATATTTGCTGGGAGATTTTCTGCCTTCACCTTTCATAGTGATGACTGTGTTTCTGTGTGTAGCACATCCTTAAGCATCTTTTGTAAGGCTGATGAGTGGTGGCAAATTCTTTCAATTTCTGTTTGTTATGTCTTTATTTCACCTTCATCATAAATGAGAACTTTGCAGGGTACAGTATTCTGAGTTGACAGTTTTTTTCTCTTAAGATGTGGATTACATCTCACCAGTCTCTCCTAGCCTGTCGTGTTTCTGATGAAGTCAGCTGAGAGTCTAACTTGAGATCCTCTGAAAGAAAGCTGGTATTTTTCTGGTGCATTTTATTTATTTATTTATTTATTGACAGGCAGTTAGTGAGAGAGAGGGAGTTATAGACAGTGAGAGAGAGACAGAGAGAAAAGTCTTCCTTCCATTGGTTCACTCCCCAAATGGCCGCTACGGCTGGCGCTCTGCCGATCCAAAGCCAGGAACCAGGTGCTTCCTCCTGGTCTCCCATGCGGGTGCAGGGCCCAAGCACTTGGGCCGTCCTCCACTGCCTTCCCGGGCCACAGCAGAGAGCTGGACTGAAAGAGGAGCAACCGGGACTAGCACCCGGGGTACCAGTGCCGCAGGTGGAGGATTAGCCAAGTGAGCCACGGCACCAGCCTCTGGTGCATTTTAGGATTTTCTCTTTATGTTTTACTGTGGAGAGTTTGACTACAATGTGTCATGGTGAGGATCTTTTCTGGTCATGTCTTTGAGGAGTTCTCTGTGCTTCCTGTACTTGGACATCCCTTTCTCTAATTTAGGGAAGTTTTCTATAATTTTTTCACTTAAAAGGCCTTCTCACCCATTCTGTCTTTCCACTCCTTCAGGAACTCCTAAGACCCATATGGTGGATCGTTTGATAGTATCCCATAGATCTCCAACACTGTTTAATAGTTTTCTAATTTTTTCTTGTTTTTTGGTCTGAGTATAAAATTTCCAGAGATTTGTCTTCTAACTTGGCTATTCTTTATTCTGCCTCACTGAGTCTGTTGTTAAGGCTTTCCACCGCATTTGTATTTGATCTATTGAATTCCTTATTTCCAATATTTCATTGTGATTTCTCTTTAAAGTCTCAATTTCATGGGAAAATTTTTCTTTCTTGTCATGTATGGATTTCCTTAGTTTGTGAATTTGCTTCTGATTACTTCTAAGTAACCCTATGATCAATTTTTTGAATTCTGTTTCTGGTATTTCTTCAACCTCTTCATTTTCATATTTAGTGTAGATGCGTTGTTGTGTTCCTTTGGGGTGTCTGTTGTCTTCCTTATTCTCGTTTCTTGAATTGCTGCATTTATTTTTAGGCATTTGTGGAGATACTTGGTAGTTTATATTTTGTCCTTGTGAATAGTGGGGTGTCTGCTCTATCTGTTCACTCAGTGAATTCCCTGAGACGGGTGCAGGGTGTGGCCAGGGAGCTCTGTTTAGTGCTCCGGGACAAGGGGAGTGTCCACGGTGACTCCCAAATTGGGTGTGGTAAATCACCCAGCCTCCCCACCCCATCAGTTCTCCCAGCCAGACTCAGGGGTCTCCTCTCAGCTGGCCGCTGTGCTCAGAGCAGGCACAGCTGTTATGTATGTCCAAAATGGCACCCGCCCACTCTTGGCTAGTTACAGGACACTACTGCTGGCTGGTTGGGAAGAGAGAAGCATGCCCCGTTTTGTCCCTGTAGGTTGGCAGTATACTGCCCACCACAGGGCTCCCAGCCAGGCTCACACCAGGCTCTTCCCGCAGCTTAAATGCCCGTGGTTTGGGCCGCTGCGGTCTGGTTTTACCTCACTCTGCGAGGCTGGTGCTGAGGCTCTCGCTGCTGGGCTGCTGAATTGTGTGCGTCTACACCCTCCACACGGATCCAGTGTTCCTAATTTGAGTGAAGTTTCCTCTGCCCTTCTCTTC